CGATTGCTGGTGAACAACTGTCCTCCCTGGGCTGGCAGATGAAGACATTGAGCTTTCCTGCTGGCCTGCAGGCTGGTGGATTTAGCCACTGGGCACCTATTTCTAGTCCCTGCCCGCCAAGCACACCCCATTTGCAAGCAGACACCAAAAGCTGCCCCACAGATGCAGTTACCGGCTCTCCTCTTGGCCCGCGGTCACCAGGTGAGCCTGGGGGACCTCCCTCTCCATTGTTACCCTACAAGATGGTGGGAACACAGAATCAAGACCTGCTCCGAGCAGCAGTAAATCCATCCCTCATTGCCCACCTCTGAGCAGGCTTACCCCCAGCCCTCCTCCCCTGGGTACCAGCCCCTGTCTGTGCCCTCCCCGCACGCTGCCCTCACTTACCCGCTCTCCGGGAGGACCATCGGCACCTGGAGCACCCTGCAGAGCAATGATGGGGTTGGTCAGGTGGTGGGGATGGCCAGCAAACATGCACAGGGGACATCATGGGCAAAGGGCAGAGGACTCACCTCATCGCCTGTCTCTCCTACTGGCCCAGGCTCACCTCTGTTTCCAGGTGCACCCTACATGAGCAAGCCACAGGGGTGCAAACAAGACAAGTCAGTAAGTTTTGGAGCAAAGCCCTGCATGCTTGTAGAGCTTTGGGCAAGCTCCACCTCAAAGCCAAGCTTGGCATAGGAGACCTCTTCCTCTCACAGAGGGCAAAGGATGCTCACACAGGGCTGCATCACTCACCTTCTCTCCAGGGCTGCCGGGAATCCCCTGTCGGCCAGGTTTTCCATCATCCCCAGGCTCTCCCTTCACAAGGGCACAAGGCATCGTCAAGACCGCTTCCAGCACCCAGCAGTGGATTTCATCATGGCGCAGAGGCCATCAGAAGCCCCAGTGCGCCCCCGTGCTGCTTTCTGCACTGTGGTTTCTCCCCAGGGATCTCCTCATCTCCAGCCAACTCCTCCCCGCAACACCCTGCCCAGCATGAGCCACCCTTTTGCAGCAGCCCCCCGATACCTCAAGGATGCTCATGCCAGGCTTGTGGGCACGTGTCAGCCTTGGGCACACTGCCAGTCACACCAGCCAGATCTTACCATTGGTGACAAGGAGCATCCTCAAGCATAGACTTGTCACCAAGCAGTGCAAGGGGGTAAGCAATGGGTCGATTGCCACCTCTCCCTCTTGCAGGAGAGAGGTTCCAGCACCTCTCCTTCCATGTGGGGCTGGCCAGAGAGGCTCACCTTTCCTCCCTTGGGTCCGTAAGCACCAGGATCTCCTTTTGGTCCAGGTGGGCCTTGAGCTCCCTGTTGGAAATAAAGGCAACATCACTGAAAACGAAGCTGATATCATTATCTGTGAGAAACTGGGCATGGACTGAGCGCCCAGCCCACAGCTCCCGAGCAGGATGGACATGTTCTGCCCCTGGAATGCCTGTGAGGTGCCATGCCTGGGATGAGCACTGCATGTCTACAGGCATATTTCCAAGAGGGGCCACTCCCTCCCACAGCTCCCCTTCTTGGGGAGCTCTCTATTTCCGTGCACCATCACGGCAGACCTGCTGTGCCAAATCATTCACGTGCAAGGGGCACCAACAGGGTACGTACATCGAATCCAGGTGAGCCTTTGCAGCCAGGTAACCCAGGGTATCCAGCTTCACCCTGTCAGAAAGACAAAGCAGAGTTCTTCATGAGCGGCCCCCATGGAAGACCCCATCCATCACCCCAGTGCCCTGAGGATATCCCAGCACCCTGAGGACATCCTATCCCTGTTGCCTCTGAAGGGACTGCCCCACGTGGGACACTGGCTTTGTTCCCAGATCCCATAATAGCTTTGGAGAGGTGTCTGGGCAAAAGCCAGCGTCCTCAGTCTAAGCAAGGTGGCCTAAAGCCAAGATTTACCTTCATGCCATCAATGCCATCAATTCCACGCCTGCCCTTCTCACCCTGAAACAGAGAACAGGGACCATGAAGATGTGATTTCCGAAGACCCTTCTCCCCCCAGTCATCAACCAGAAAGAATAAAAGGTGCAAAAGCAGAGACCGACCTTGGCTCCTTTGGCTCCTCTCGAGCCCTGCAAAGGGAAGGAGAGAGATGTTAGACCCCCGTGCAGAGCAGATCCACACCCCCACTCTGCTGCAGTCCCCATACCAGCTTGGTTCAATGATGCAGGCAATCACTGTGCCCCTGCACACCACCGATTTCCCCTGTTCTGCCTGGCTGTGCCCCCTGCACGGCGCTTGTCTGATCCCCAAGGCTGTATTCAGCTCCAAACTGACTGGTCCCGTTGGATCCCTGCTCCTGGCATGGGCAGTGCTGACAGGAGGGACGGATGCACGGGCATACACCAGAGCCCAACACCGTGCAGCTGCAGGGGCAGCCCAGGGTAACAGAGCAGGCGGACACAGACATCTCCCTGCAGCATCCTTGCTGTGCTCACCTTTTCTCCTCGACTTCCTTTGTCACCCTGGAGATGGAAGGAGAGAGGAAAAAGAAAGGATGAAAACACTGGCAGCACAAAGCATCTAGGAAGCACACCTGGGGCGCTGCAGCCTCACGTACCTTCATTCCTTGGTAGCCAACAGGTCCCATGTCTCCTGGCCTGCCCTAGAGGACACAAACATGGTGTTATGGAGGCAGACACTGTCACCACCATCACCATGGGGTGGTTTCCCCTCGGGCTTTTGACGTAGGGCCTGGGCCCCAGCATCCATACCCTCCCACAGGAGGCTCTCCCCTAAATGCCCTTCTTGTTTCTCCAGTCTGGGAGCACAGGATCATTGTGGAAGGCACAGGAGACCTGCCTTCATACCCTTCCTGGGGGTGAGGGAAACCAGGCGCTTGGGGACGTATCATCTGGGATCAAAGGGAAGGGCAGAGGATCCCCGTGAAGGAAAAGTCTGTGTGTGTATGTGTATTGATTGAGCCTGGCCAGATTTTGGTGGTGGCAGGCGGGGAGCTGTAGGGTGGCTTCTGCAAGAAGCTGCTAGAAGTTTCCCGAGTTTGATAGAGCCAGTGCCAGCCGGCTCCAAAGAGGGACCCGCGGCCGCCCCCAGGCT